AAATAGTAAGTTCGGTATATGAAAATCAAAATCAGAACAAAGTCGATCAAAATCTCTGGATTCATCTTTAGTGCTCTCTTACCGGAGAAATTATGGAATCAAAACCAATTTTAGCGAAGTTTATGATGCTTTTCCTTTATAATGTCCAAATACCTAGAGATATATTTAAAAGTTTCAGGCAACATTCTATTGTACTAACGGATGATGTTGGTTCAAAAATCAAGTCATATTACCTATATAACTACATAGGCTTCCAAATTATTAAAGCTACCCTTGATTGGAACAATTTTTTTTTTTTCACACTAACTAACTTTTCTTCTCATCTTGAGAAATGATATAATATACCTGTTTCTTCTTTGAATTGTACAATGTGAATACAGATCTTGAATTCAAATAAATCAATGGTCTTCCGTGAAAAAAATAAAAAGTAATGGAATGGAAATATTTTTTGCATTCATCGCTTTAAATGGAAACCGTCATTATAAGGACAGCATCTTAAAACCGCAACTTTTTACCCATCCGTCACTTGGGTTCTGTTCTCCGGTAAGTGCAACATTTTTGAAATGGAAGCAGAATCTACCTATTTTTTTTTTTTTTTTGTTTAAGAAGTTACTTGACCGATCATAAATTAAGTATCTCAAAAAAAGCTTTTTTAAACAATATTCAAGTGAAAAAGAAGCGCTCCTCCTTGAATCACCAAAGCCTTTTCCTCATTCCACATTATGGGAAGCATAGCAAATAAAATCAGAAATATCACCAATTAGTGTTTATAGAGAAATATTGTACTTAGGAAATATGATCAGTAGAACACGTCAAAAGCTAAATAGTCTCAGTGTTGGCCGACATGGAGAACGATAAGGGGAACAGACTCATTACACTTTGCGAACAGTCAGACCTGAAAATCAAAAATGGTTGCTCCCAACAGAACAACCAACAAGTACACCTGAAATAAACCTTCCCAGATTAATATCAATAATCGATAACTACTTACTAATACTTACTAAACAAACAAAAAAATAAAATACAGGATATCAGAGCCCAAAGTGGGCCAACATGCGGAAGTCCAGAATCCTCGTCCCTTATCAAGACAAGGCTGGTTAACTCAAGGCAAACGAAACAGCATAGGAGAAGGGATTGACCAGTGTAGATACAATCTGAAAAGCATAGAGCATGAAAGCTTAAAGAACTTGTTCCAAAGACGACTGCACGAAAAACTTAGAGTATCGCCACGTGAAAACCCAAATGAAAAATACAAAACCATGAAAACAACCATTCAGCAAACGGCAAATGAAGCACTTGGTCTTATAAAAGAAAACACTGGTGGGATAAACAGATTCAGAGAAAAATAGAGGATAACAAAAGAATATACGATACATACATATTGAAAAAAAAAAAAACAGATCACACAATATTGTGAGAACGCTCAAACAAAAGTAAGAATATTGATAGGGTGCAAAAACAAATTAATCGTGGACTAGAACATGCCAGAAAATACACTTATATATGAGAGGTCCAAGGAGCACGGAGAGTTCGAGAATTATCAGAACATTGATAAAATGAAAATCTAAAGATATTATCACCAATAACAAATCTTGGATGATATCAACATTTAAAAAAAGTACCTACTACCACAAAAATGAGCAGAGTTTCGAGAAAATGATATCCCCGATGTGATCAAAACCATTGTCGGCCCGACATCGCTGACACTTCCTGGGAAGCGAAATCAAGGTACCTGCGAAAAGTTCTCTATAAAAATGATGTTGTCGTTAAATGTATTAATTAGGCTTAGTTTAAATTTTGAATCGTTTATCTTCAATATAGGCCCATGAAAGTTACCTTTGTACACCACTGGTGAGTATTTTTGTTATTGTCTTATATACCTTTCAGAAAACTTGTCAAGCTTGTTGTTTTTATATGGATTTAAGAAATACTATCCGCCCAACATGAAGGTAAGGCATAATGAAAAAAAAAAAAAAAAAACCGCACAGAACAACCAGCAAAAATGTTGATGACCACCTCATGCCTTTTCTATAAGTTTTTTACAATCTTTTTTTGATAATTACCTAGAAAAATTTCCGAATGGGAGACAAAAAATGCAGGAAGAGAAAATTACCTCTGACAAAAAAAAAGTAATAATATAGTATACGGAAAGGATTTTTGCTGCAATTACTTATAATATCATCATAGGAACATATAGAAAATTCTAGCTACCTTAGACTGTAACAACTTGAACTGCTATGATGATAAAATTTGAGTAACGGGGATTAGTAATGTCAAGACTAAGGGGACGTTTAGATATTATTATATTATAATAATCGACAATAACAGGCGGAGTTTATTGCTTTTATATGAAGATATTTAAATTTAATCAATTCTACAATTTAAAAAATAGCAAATAAAAAAATAGAATAAATCCACGCTACTGAAAAGAGCAAAAATGGGGTGAGGTGTGCCAAGGAGGTTGCCAGCATTGTGCCAGGCTGGTGCCGAGTAACTATTGGGTTTCTTTAAACCACCTTCCGATTTTCCCACGATCTCAGAGAACAGACGCAAGGTGTACGATAGTACAGATTTTTTACGGTGCGGGCTGAACGCACCCCCGATGGATGAACACCTGCTGCACTGAATAACGCCCACATTCGCGGTTACCACAGTACCGGACGCGCTGATTTCTCTGTTAAGGTATACTTTTAACTAAACGTCCTGTTTTATTTCCTGATTTGATTCGCTTGAATAACTTTTAAAAGGCTTAAGAATAATCAAGAAAATATGTTAAGAGAAATGGTATGATTTATTTATTAGGTACATTGTGTGTTTTATTTCTAAAAAGGATTTATGCGGTTATTTTATTTTTATTTTTATTTTTTTATCAAATAAAAAATTGATACTTTTAGTCGCAAATTATGTCAAGACAGCCGAGCAAAGATAGCAGATCGCGGAGCAGAAGGTAGCCGATCATATTATATACATTGTACTAATTCATTTTTTTTTAATTCGTTTATTTATGGTAAAAGAATACAATTCGGCCTTGCTCTATACAGATGCTATTATATGATAAGAAAATTCTAAAAATGATAGCAGAGCAGAGTAACAAAATCAATCAAGAGATTGATAAGTGTAAGTAGTAAAAATAACTATGTTATCAACATTACTTAGGGCGGGTATTATAAAACTGCTTTGACAGTTAACCTAAAGTTAACTTTTTGAATTACATGTAATTTAAGAAGTTAACTTTAAGTTAACTCTCAAAGCAGTTTTATAATACCCGCCCTTAGTTCAATAAGTGCTTAGGTAGTAATTTTAATTTGTATATTACTTTGACATAAAAGGGCTTTCTACTTTTAAATGTAGTCACTAAAAATTTATAGTTTTTAAGATCATTGCTTAGTAAATTACATACAGGGTGTTTGGTACATCGATTCGAAGATTTCAATCAGTGGTAGTTGGGGTCGTTTGGAAGCTGTTTGACCATATTCACCCTCATGCAAAGTTTTGCCGTTTTTTGAGATATCGCCATTCTTACATATTTTGAATCTATGTATTTTCACACATTACTTGGGTTACATATTTTTTGTATCAATCATTCGGTTTTTCTTTCCGCATTTTTCCGAAAGAGAGCATATTAGGTTAAAGTGTTAAAGGGTGTCCTACCAAAAGTTTTAGGAACAATTCAAATATTTCCCAAAAATATCTTAAAATGCTGATATCTCAAAAACGACGAAAGAGTTTATTACAATACCATATGCGCTACCCCATGATATTATTCCATAATATGCTATCGATTCGAAAAGAGCATAATAAATAGTTAGGTACTTAAGTATAATAACATATACCTACCTATCTTAACTTTTCATTTAATTTAGAGAGCATATAACCTTAGCTTCATATAACTCTTTAAATTTCATATAACTACAAATATCAAGGTATTTAACACTTTCTTCTTTTTATACTACTACTACATCCACAATCTAGAGTACAGTCCCAATCGTGAGTTACAATTTTAAGCACACCCGGTACCTTATCTTTGTACGTGGTGAATAAAATGTACCTTGTCTTTGTAATCTGTAAAGATCAACTATTCCATTAACCAATTGGCAATATCCTTAACAACCCTGTTGGCCCTGATTTCCCGACCTAGCCATGACGTGTCCTCTTCAATAAGTCATTGATAAATACCACAAATACAAGTGTATCAAATGGTTCCTTCCTGGTGGAAGTATTGGGCAATATGAAAAAGTTTATAAATTGAAAAACGCGCTTTGTTTGACAGTGTCAGTAAAATCGATCAGGGTCAAATAACAATTTCCTGAAATTTTCTGATAACTATCGGCGAATGCAAAACGATATGTCAATAATTTCGTACTTCATGTTAATATGAAAGAAGTACGCTGGGTGTAAATTTCTCATAACTCGTACTACAATGTTATAATAATTTTTATAGAGAGTTAATGGCGCTTTTTAAATGGATTAATACTCTATTTACTGATAACAAAGAAACCTTTCGATTCGAGATACAGGTCAGTCAAATTTTCATTGAAGTCTGCATATAACTCATGTTCAAAAAAATATTTCTGAGAAGTAGGTACTGCACTGGTGCAACTTTTCCAAAATTTAATGAGTTGATTTCATGTACAAGGCTGGTTCAAAAATAAAACGAAAATTTCTGACAACACATAACTCCTGTATTGCAAATTAAATTATAATTTTCGACAATTCTTTCCAGACATGTTGAAATTTGAACTCAAACTTAACGCGTATTACGGCACAATTAATCAATACAGGTACTTTCCAATGCACTTGTCATATTATTACTTAGATTTTTTACCTGCACATACCTTATTGTTTTTTGAAGAACAACTCAAATTTCACGTGATAAAATGAATAATAAATAAAAAAAAAATAAAAATTTAGGCTTGTCTTTTCCTGTTAATAGGTACCTATAGCATTAATCAAACCTATGAAAATACAGTTAAATAAAACAGATGCATATTTATTCGCAGACGTCCGAAGATGATCTTCCAGAGTGCAACACTAGATCAATCTGCAACAAAGTGGACCTATACGACTCTCCGTGGGTAGAAAAGCAATGCAGGTGTACAGGTGGAAAAACATGTCCCATGGATCTTTCAACTGACGATGATCGTACTTTTGTTGAAAAAACCAGACAATATAAAGTTTGCGAACCTATTAAAAAATTGCCGAAATGCAAGTAAGTAGCCATTCTATACATCGATATGTATCATTATTTTGGAATATGTAGTAAAAATGATCTCGTCTCCAATAAGAAAGTATTACCTATCTTAAATTCAAATCTTCAGAAATGCATTCAATAATGAATATTTTATTTAACCACAAAACCGTCTTTTCTTCTAGATATTTCCGGGATACGACCTGGTCGATTACTTTGTACCAGAACAACGTTACAGATCAAGTAATTCACTGTCACTGCCCGAAGAATTCCTTAACGTACCTAAACAAGAGAAGCGTACAACATTTGCCAAATGGTCAACTAGCATTTCAGTACCTCTTCTCATGCTCTCCGCAAGCGGTAAGCCCGAATAACAGTTTAAATTAGTAATTATGTAGGTATTATTAAGCTTTTGCTTTTGCCGTTTACTTGAAAGGCCTTGTTGATAGGTATATTATTATTAAAGAACACTTTTAGTGCCAATGAGGCAATAGAAGAATTTGAAACTCAGAGTGTTTCCTCGCCTATTTAATATGTGTTAACACTTTTTAAAATCCTTCATAGCAGAGATCTGTACTAAAAGGATATCGTGGGTTTAATTAAATTAATCAAATCGTATTAGCATATTTTAAATGCATTAATTTTTGGAAAAAAGTACACAGAAGTTTCCTTTGTACACTGCTGAATAACGTAAAAATGACTATGTTTAGGTTGAATTTTACATATAGTAAACACAAACGTACATTAACGGTAAACAAAATGCATGGACACGGACCAATCACAGAAAGCCGCTAGCGATGCGGCTAGTTGAGGCCGAGATGGAAAAAGATATACCTATGCAAATGATTAGTTTTCTCTCGCTGTCAAAACTGACAAAATATTTAATCATTGACTGTATACTGTAAATAATATAAATCACACTGCCTCTCATCTAAGTAGGTACCTAAGATTGATTTTTCTGTCAGCGGTAAAGTAAATCGCACGGGCATAGATGAATTAATTAGAAGTCTCCGGTAGTCTTGAGTGTTGTTTCGCCTTTGGCATGAAAATGTTGTGGGTACTTTTAGTTTTGTCCAAAATCACTTGGCAGTTGGTTGTCAATTCAATTAAAATAGTAGGCAGTCATTAGTGTGTCATAAAGTGTAACGAGATATGGGGTCTTCAAAAAAAGCCTAATTCAAAGAGTGCTTTGATCATTAAAACGTACGTCCATAGACCATAAATAAATGTCACAGTGACACATTTCTGGCATTATTGTTTCTTGATTTGTCAGAAGATTTTTGCTGGAGAAAATGCTGTTTTCCATAGAGGAAAAAAGCAAAATGGTGAATAGGTTAAAAAATCATAGCTATCTTTGATTTACGTCTTCCTTTTAGAAGTTTTGTGCAATGTAGGTATACTGAATTTAGTTCAAACAAAAGTATCTACTCTATGAAGTTAGACTGTCTCCTTTGAAAGAGTATTTTATGGTCTTTTGGAGGTCATTTTTGTTAAGCCGTTTAGTTTAAAACAAATAGTCTAGGAGGCGTTATCTGCAAATACCTACACATTTATGTGACTTTTGGAAAAAAGGTTAAAAGAAACGGTAGGTCTTATTTTCTTTGCAGATCGTTAGCCATCATAAAATAAGGTGAATTTAAGTGAAAACCGCATCGCCATATTTCCATCCGTTCTCGATTTATTTATTGCATTTTCGAGATTCAGCCAGCCGCTCTGCACCCTTATCCGGACACCCTGTATATTTTATTATCATCAATGTTGTTTATTTATGTATGTATTGATTTATTTGAGCGATTTATCATACGCTTCTGTCGCAATATGCATTTCAATGGAATTGCCACAACCAATAGTTTTTATTATAGGTACCTATATATTATTCAATTTTTTCGATGTTGACTGAAAATTAAGTATGCGCATGATTTTTGGCTTGTTTCCGTCTTCCGGCCTATCTAACTTATAAAATAGCTAATTTAAGTCCTGAGATAAAAATCATTTATAATTTTTAAGCAAAGTCAGTAATGGCAGCTCAATGCAATCTAGCTATTTAATATTCAAAACAACTACTAAGTAGGTAACTAGCTGTTATGAGAATTATCATTGCTTATTATAGGTTTATTCAAAGTTAGAATATTAGATATTTAACATTAAATATATTCTTAATAGCTCCAATTATTGTTAAGAAGACTATAACGTAAACTTATATTGTTTTCGTACCATTTTAAAATAGTTAATTATTATTGTTGTTCCAGAGACTAAGATGCCAGCGAAAGGAACCTTGTCGCTTGTTTACAGTCCGCAAACGTCAAGAATTCTTGGACGAAGTGAATGTAAACACCCTGTGCCAATGCCCCCATGCTCACAGATGCCCGCACCACCACACGGACTATGGCGTGATCTCCGTGAAAAGCTTTAGCGAAGACATTATTAAAACCTACAGCGGGTACTGTCTTCCTTCGTAATGCCTCACTAGATGTCGCCGAGCGACTAGTTTGGTACTAGCTGGTAGAGCTTGTTGCGTTTCAAATTTTGTGCCTATGAGAGATTTTATATTATATTACTTGTTAGTGTGATGGTTTTTTTAATTTGTTGTTTTTGGTATACATGTCGCAATATTTATAAATATTCATATTAAGATTGTATGGTCGCAGAATGCTTCAGCCACATACCAAATTTTACCTGATTCAAATCCATCAAATAATAAATAAAATCCCAATGTTTCTTCTATAATTTCACAGAATATGAGGATTATACTGCGACTATGTTAAAATGTACTACAAAATAATGTTACTTATAAAACTACTATATTCTTGTTTTTGTTACTTAATAATATTAGGTAATGCCACTCTTGCAGTTGTCATTTCTGTAGGGCTTTAGTCATAATTTATTTATAGATACACACAATGTAAGTAGTATAACACGTACACCTATAATTGCTCACAATGCCCAGAATGGTAGAACTTTTCTAAGATAATACACATTCCGTTTTAAAGGCTTTAAAAAAATAGTATTTTCTCTATATTTATTGGTATTTATTTGAGACAGAAAAGCCAATATGGCGTCTAAGCGTATTTATTTTTTAAGGTTCAAACTTTTGTAAATAGCTCCTTTTTATATTAGAATTATGTAAAGAGGAAGGTAATAAGCCATAAATTTCGAAGTTTAAAACAAAACTGGTAAATTCAAAGTCTTGTAAATCGCAAACTTTCAGATTATCTTGAAAAAAAGATATAGACTTTGATACACGTCTACTCAAGCAAAGCTTTACTTTGATGTCTCTTGGGAAATTATACATCATAAATCACTCTTTGATTATGTAAAAAATATATTTGTATTTTAGGTTCACCCAAGAAGACGCATTTTAAGATTCGGTACCTTCTTTTAACAATGGTTTGATAGGTAGATGTTAAACATATAGTTTAATTTAATGCAGTTTAAAGTTCTATTGTTTTAGTTTTACTGTCAAAATGTACAAAATATATTAGCATTTTTTTTAAATGTCTATATTTTTAATTACTATTTGTCCTAAAACCTAAACGATATATAATGGCTAGGAAACAAATCAAACAAAAATCATTTTCTACTTTCTGATTGTGAGTCAGTGATTTTGGCTGGCGTATTTGAATCTCTTTTCAAAACATAAACCATTATTCTTTTCAAAACATAAACCATTATTCACTTAAGGCCTGGTCATACCAAATAGTTGTCTTTAAGATGTGAATTTATGACATCTTATGGACAACTTCAAAACAACGTCTTCTAGTTCGCCTTACGAGTCTAGCACTACGACGACTGAAGGGCAAGGGGGAATAACGCCATTCATTTCGAGCTTTATGCTGCCTGTCATAGGCGTGCGCGCAGCGTTTTTAAATATTACTTCTTCCCTATAAATGTAGGGTAGGTGTGTACCATAGATAAATATTAAGGTATTTTCTATTGGAAGTCAACATGGCAATATTGCAATTTTTTATCCGCATTCTTTCCATAGTGCTAGACTCGTAAGGCGAACTTTAGACGCCTTTTTTTGGACTCTAGACGTTCGGACGTAATGCAGACCTAAAAAAGACGTCTTTAAGACTTTGTGTGCTGTATGGGTAGCTGACCATCTCGTATCTATTGTCTATTACTCTTTTAACGGATGTTCATCAACAAGATGGGTGGACTCTACCTGAGTTGGGAATCCCACAGCTACAGAACAGGGTTGCCGATGGTGTGAGTAATTCGGGTGATGTGGTGCGTCTCAGGTCGCGAGGTTACCAAAAGATATTTAATTTCAGTCAAGACGAGATGTCTTAATCTCTTTTCAATACATAAACCATTATTTACTTAAGGCCTGGTTGTACCAAATAGTTGTCTTTAAGATGTGAATTTAAGACGCCTTTTTTTTGTCTCTAGACGTTCAGACGTAATGCAGACCTAAAAAAGACGCCTTTAAGAGTCTGTATACTGTGTGGGTGCCTTAACTGAGACACATGCCAACTCCAACTAGACAAAGAACAAAATGCTGACTGACAAGGAATTGGAAATGGTAACAGCTAGGATATAGAAAACAAACTGGATGGCTAGAAAATCTTAGTTTTGGTTAAACAGTGAAGAGTACAAGCTTCAATGGGATTCGTCGTGGAGATAACTCGTAAATGGGCAGGGCCGGATTTAGGCACAGGCAACCGAGGCAACCGCCTAGGGCGCCACAATTAGGGGCGCCAAATTGACAACAAATTTATTTCGAGTGAACAAGTTAAATTAAAAAAAAAAGAAGTTCTATATCACAAGGATGATAGGGAGATAATAGAAGATCCAACAACATTGTCCGGTAATAGTTAATTTACAAATCACCACTGTCACCTGTCACCGCTCATCAAGGCACTTTCGATCCTCTTTGTCTCAAAACAGATTGAATGGACTTTCGCTCTCAGAATTGAAAATGTTATAACCTTCGACCATTGAACACACTCGATCCCGATGGCTATAACATGTTAGATGGTGTAGATTATAGTAGGTCTGTTCTCACAGGAATCACAAACCAGCCAGAGCGTTTTTGCTTGGCGCAAATCTCCAACAACCAGTTTTATGACTATTTTCAACCAATGAAATTCCCTCTGACTGGTTTGTGATTTCTGTGAGAATAAACCTATCAACGAACTCATCTCTGACTTTGCAAGACGTAAAGCCAGAGTGGTTCATTTTTAGTGTTGATAATTTAATTAGTTTTGGAAAACTATTTTTGTGTTTAGTTAATTTGAAAAATACATATTATATGTCCGGAAAATAGCGTAAAAGCTCTCCACTACGTAGTAGGGGATCCTTTGAGTAACCCTGGAAAAATAATTTAAAAAATCCTTCTCGACCATTCTTGGAAATATGAAGAGGTAAATGTGGAAATTCAACTTCCTTATTTTTGATTTTTCTTTCAAATTGCAATATTTTGTACAAAGTGTTAGGTATCTTTTGTTGATTCATTACATATTAGTTTAAAAAAAATTGTTGTTAACCTTTAAAACGCATTATGAAAATTGCAAAATCTCTAAATTACAACAGGAAAAATTGATCTGACAACATTTTTCAGTAACCTTCGAATTTTCCAGGTTATTACATAGGTATTTAATTTAATTCTGTGACAAATTGTCAACGGGATATTTTCAGTGTTGCCGATTTTAATAAACATTAAAATGCTAATAACTTTCTTAAGAATGCCACCAGATTTTTTAAATTATTTTTCTGGGATTCCTTGAAGGGTCCCCTACTACGTAGTGGAGAGCTTTTACGGTATTTTCCGGACATCCTGTATATCTATTTTTTTTATATCTACAATATAGATCTGTTCTCACAGACATCACATACCTATCAGAGCGAATTTCATTAGTTATAAACTATCAGAAAACTAGTTTCTGGCGATTTGCACCAATCAAAAACACTCCGACTGGTTTGTGGTTTCTGTGAGAACAGACCTCATGTAATAAGTAAACGTATGATATACGCTTCTAAAAAAATGAAGTTATATACTTGTTTTGTCTTACTCTCTTAGCGATAGCCTAAAATTCATTGTTTATCATATTGATCTTTATCCATTTTGACAAATCAATTTGAGAAGGGGGGCGCCAGAATTGAACTTTGCCTCGGCATAAAATACCTATTGGACCGGCCCTGTAAATGGGAGAGTACAGATAGGAAAAGCCTTACATGAGACCGTTGCGCTACTGTCCATGGTGGACAGAGTGCTACTTGAACAGCTACTTGGTCGCCACTCTGGAGTCAATAGGACGTTGTCTCCAATCCCCAATCAAGAAGCGTAACTAGAAAACATCATAGCCAATCACGGGGTACCGATGGAATTTCATACCGATTCGGGAAGGAATTTTGAATACGAATTATGGAGTCAACAGATATATGAGTTTACTGGGAATAAGGAAAACCAGAAGAACTCTGCTTCATCCATTCATAGTCCGGCCGAATGTTCGAGAGGCACAATCAGACCATCAATCAATACCTAGCTGTCCACGTTTGTGAATAAACACCAGCGAGATTGGGATAAACTGGTTCCTATTTAATGTTTGGCAGGCCACTGGCCGATAAACACGAAGTTGTACTTCATTGAAGACGACGCCGTCTAGTTGTAATCAACCACCGCGAAGAAAGGCACTGACCCCGAAATTACAAAGAACATGGAAATGACCATATACCTAAGATCATCAAGAAGATCAGCGACCTGTGTACAGGATTCAACTTTCGTCGAAAGCCAAGCCAAGACTTCAAGAATAAGAAGAATATTCTGACTTAGATGCGACCAGGAGAAAACTGTACTCCGGTTCAGTAACTGAAATACCTACTCAAAGAGTTCGGCTTTATTGGCGAATTATCTATCGGCGTTACCGGATACTTCTGGTAGCGAGTTTTCGAGAAAATTAGAGAACACTTGAAATAGTATGGGGGAGTTTCTGTGTTCTAGTTGTCCTAGTTCTGTCGTGATTTTTGTGTTATTGTTTCAAATAAAATGTAGGTAGGTACCTCAATTTGGAAAAGTAGTGTAGTTATCGACGAACCCGTTTACGTGACAATATTTATTATAAATGAGGCACAGCACAAATTTTTGTCGTAATGCTCGCTTTGAAGCGTACAAAATTCCATAATTACCTACTATGTTAAAGGATACATTAATACTTATAGTTTAACTCATTTTCTTACATCTTTTTTATTGTAGCCAGAACGGGGCACGGACCTACCTCTTTTTTTTTAATTATCCTTGTCCTACGCTGCGCTGTGTTTCTCCACTTCCATCCAACATATATTTTTACGTCGTCATACTCATCTGGCAATTGATCGTTATCTGTTTCTTTTCCTACCCCATAGCCGCTAATTAATGATTTTTGCGTTGTATTTAATCTACGATTTTTCAGCTTTGTCATGAGTCCATTTTAGTATTACGTCAGTGACTTTTTCCTCGTCCGATCCGTTCATTTCTTTTTCTGTGTCTTATTGAAACGCCTTCCAATAATATTATCTTCTGCATTGCTGTCTAAATGACTTATAGAATGGAGAATCGGCTTTTTGCTGATTGTACAATATTTGAAATAACTATTTAGCCTCAATATTTTCGCAAAAAAAAACGAAAAAATCCAACCTATGACAGCGTGCTCCGTTTACCTGAAAAATTAAGTGTTACTGACTTGTCATTGCATTTCATATATATTCTGAAACTTCTAATGTGTAGACAACTAGCTTCGCCTTCATAAGCTCACTTATTGTCGTTTTTAGCTTCTTTTTAACGGTCGCTGCAGGATCGTTAGGTTTGTAGTTATATAAGTTGGAGTACGATTTACTTTTCAGTAGTTCTTTCGCCAAAATGGCGTGAAATGTGGCAAATAGCTATGAAATAAAACTATTTAACAAGATTATTGTTATGAAAAATATTATTATTAGTCGATTATTGAAGTAAACGCGTGACATAATTTCGTAAATTGTATCGATTCCTCATACCCAAACATTTTCTATAGTTAACGATCGCTTGTAAACTCTCGCCGGGTTTTTTAATTTTTGATTTAACTTGAGTTCTAAATATTTCTTGTCTGTAATGGTCTCCAAAGCGCAATTCTAACGTCTGACTTAGATGCTGGTAATTCGGTTGGTAGATTGAAGGAATGGCCTGAAGAAGATCTAAGGCAGGTCCTTGTAGCGCCACTATCAGTGCTGTAGCTTTTTCTTGATCGTTCCGTCCGTTGATGTTTGCAGCAGCTTCAAATTGCCGGAAATACATGGTCCAGGACGTAAAACCGTCAAAAGTTGGCGGTTTTATCTTCATACTAGAAAATGATGCTCCAACACTACCTGGATTGTACTGTATTTCTAGTTTATTTATCTTATTTTCGAGTGCTTGAACTTGGTCCTCAACTTCTTCTCTTAACTAGAGTCTTAACTGCTGGACATCAGCTTTGACCTCAGCTTTTACTTCCTGAACGTCGTTTTTAACTTCTTGCACATTGTTTTTAACTTCTTGCACATT